CCGTATTGTATGGCGGGGAGGGGAGTGTGGGGGAGGGGGGGGCTGACAAACTTAAGATTGGCGACATAGAGAGAATAGATGTAATTGCTTTACATGCGTGGGGAGGGACATCTTTTGTAGTTACGTCACTAATTTTATGTTACCCAAAGACGCATTTCATCGCCTATACCTAATACGAGCTTGTATCACGCATCGTGTTATGCTACAGTTTTTATGTTTCAGCTACAACATAAAATCGTTTTTTTTTAAATATAAATGAGCAAACCGAATTAATTTTTATTGATATAGTGTACCACTATACGGTCGAAGTATTGCTGGATAAAACAGTCTTCCATCAGTAAGTACACACACATTTTATAAACAAAAGGTTTTGTGTGTGTGTGTGATATCCATTGGAGCCAATATCCTACCATATTTCTTCCTCTTTTCTCTCTCTCTTTTAATTAAAAGTTTCGATTTATGATATATATACAGAGAACTTACATATTCTAGTAGTACGTTTTGACACCGGACCTTCCGAAATGTGAAGGGTGTCCTATAGATTTCCCAAGACACGCTGCTCTGGTCCTACACCGCTCAAGATGTGCCGTATTATTGACGTCACTACTATTATGACAACGCAGCCGCAGACGAAAGCAATAAAGCTTAGAAGCGAACGTAACTTCGTTGTATCAGTGTTTGGACGGTGTTAAGAATAATTGTTGGTGAATGGGCCTTTAAATGTCGAAATTATAAACTGTCGTAGTTCTGATGCTCAACAATATAAAGGTTATATACCTACTAATAATAACAATACGAGTCAATAATAACTAACCACTGACTGACTATCCATCTCCCGACGTAGGCACGTGGTACTCGCTCTCTACACGTGACAAAATTAACGTGGGTAAGGGAATATATCAGTCCTATTTTCACAAAAATAAATAGATAAATGGAAAGACAGATTCGTATAGTGTTATTAGTAAACTATTTTAATCTAGTTTTAAGTCTAGTTATTAATTTCTTTAATCTAAATTTTTTCTAGAATTCGATAAAACTTCATTAATGTTTTAGATACTTGCAAAATAAATATTTTGGTGGGGGCTGAGTGATGCATGATTTGACTGTATCGCAACACTTTTTAAAAAAAAAACTAAGTCCATGTGATTTTAGCGAACAACCTGGAAGTTATTGGTATACAATGTGTGTATGTATATGTAGTTTAAAACTGAGTGAATACGCTACGTATGTATCTACATAATAATATTTGTTGTAGTTGTCATTTGGTGATATATTTACTCGCCAATCAAAGAGACCCTAGTAACTTACACCCACGTCTCGTTAGAATCTTGGATAATTTTACTAACGTCCTTGTGGAGGTCAAACGGGGACGTGGTGTAAGTGTATTCACAGCATCGGTTTGTTTGTTTGTTAAATTAAGAGCAAAGTTGCTCCAGGAATATATGCACTAGCCGTCCCTAATTTTAAGAGAAAAGCTATAGGGAAGGCAGCTAGTCAACATCACCCACCGTCAACTCTTGGGCTACTTTTTACCAACGAATAGTGGAACTGACCATTACATTACTAGCCCCCAGCACCACTGCTACACGGCCGAAAGGGCCAGCATGTTCGGTGCTGGGGTTTTAACAAATTCCTTGTTATATTGATATTTTATTCAAATCGAGGGGGAGCTCTACTACGCTGCCCAGAGCTGCACTCACGGACGCCCCCATCTCACAAGAACGGATATCGTCAAGGTGACAGAGGTTTAACGTTATCGTAGTTTAAAGTGTAAAAATCTCTTTTAGGACCTAATGTGAAAATATTATACACACAAGATTGCACTGGCTTAAAAGAAATAAGCAAAGCTGGAGACGTGTGCTCTTTACAACTAAGCCTAAGTTTGACTTGTTCGCCTGGAGAGATAAACTTTATCACACTCAATGTACAGTGAAGTATGATGGGAAGTGGGGATCAGTACAACTTGGGGAATACATTTCAGCCAACAGTGTCGGTGATCTATACAAAATTTATGGCACCCTGACTGTCGACATGCAAAGGCAAGTCCTAATTCATCATGCCATTCCCTCAGGAACCAGACTCAACGGGAAGAGATTCGTCTTCCAGCACGATAGCAAATCTGGTTAAACGACATTTTGACAGTTAGTAGACCGGTGAAGCTTTCCCATCCATGAGTTGTTCTACACAAAGTCCAGATATAAACATTCTGGAGAAGGACTCGCGTAAAAACGTCAAAAAGACGGCCAAACAATTCGGCTGATGTATTTAGTAATACAGGACATTTGAAACAATATTCCACGCTCGTATTTCGACGAACTGTATGGAAACAAGGTATACTCTCATGCTACAACTCATTCGCTTTCTTTTGTACTTCCTATGATCAGCTTTTGTACCATTGATAACTAGTTAGCCTAGCTCGTTGTTTATGACTACTGTAGGCCTAGCTTTTGTATGTTTTCGTAATTAGTGATTTTTATATCTTGAAGTTATTTAAGAATTACTATTTTTTTAACCAACATTTGGAGACATTTCTTTTAATTTCTTATTCACGTTTGCTTTCTACTATATTTTCCCCACTTCTACAAATAGAGCTCGAGCTTTTAAAAACAGAATATACATGTACATATTAATCAATTATTTGCACGTATTAATGAGTAAGTTTAAACGTATTTGTTATTTGATGGGCATATACTTTGAATTTCGCGCAAAGCTACACGAGGGCTATCCGCGCTAGCCGTCCCTAATTTAGCAGCGAAAGACTAGAGGGAAGGCAGCAAGTAATCACCATTCGCCGCCAACTCTTCGGGTACTCTTTTTACCAACGTCATATTGTAACGCCCCCCCCCCCCATGGCGCTGAAAGGGCGAACATGTTTAGTGGGATGGGGATTCGAACACGCGACCCTCAGATTGCGAGTCAAACGCCCTAACCACCTGGCCTGGACATATATACAAGGACCTTGAAAATACGTTACTAATGTGTTGATTAAAGATATTATTTTAAATCTCATATGGCCCACTTACAATGTTAAACGCGGAGACCTTCATTCGCAATAAATTGGATAGCTTTACGTTTTCCCCCAATTGAATTGACTTCTTGATATAAAACAGTGATAAACAGATAAAGACTACAAAAAATTAATTTGATAACTGAGAGAAAGATTTGAATGTAATGTAAGTTATTGTAGTGGCGTTTTCATGGCTCTTCTGCTGCCTAAAGTTTCGTTGAAACGGCGACGTTTCGAACCCCATGCTGAGTCCTTTACGCTAACACGCTGCTAAAGTAATCCCTGAAAGAAGTTGGTCACTAAACTGCTTATTTTACATTAACTTCTCCTGTGCTTTGCCTTGATTTCCTTCAAATCTTGACCTCTAGTGCCTAAATCGCCACTCTAAAGATAATGGTGGCTATTTTTACTTTATCGTGATATTGGTTACTTTCTGCACTTTATAAGAGAATTTAACCACTTCTAACAAACCTGTAATTACTGTTATTTCACTTGGCCATTTTCAAGCTTTAAAGATCAAAATTCTTTATTTTTTTTCACCTTTGTTCCAGTATTTGAACAGTTTGTTTATTGGCAAAACAAAAATAACGTCTGAGGGCGCTGCACGGTTTATGATAAGGTGATGTATCATAAGGACTATATTGAAACAGTTTTGATGTGATTTTTAATAGAAGGCTTAAATTTGTTTGCTCTTTACGCTTGGAGGTTCTAGATAGTTCTTTTCAATCATCTAAGGTTTTATTTTAGTATTTTTACTTACCTATAGGTGGCAGTTCTATTAAAAAAAAATCAGAGCAGTGTTTTATGTGTTGATATATATGATAGATTAATGTGCTATTGTGGTCCTTAAAATTGGTAAACGGTCAATATAGTTTGTGTACATAACTATAAAAATCCGATATGTCAAATCTTGTATATTCCTGATGTTCTTCATTTCATTTATTTCAAATACAAATCTTTAATATTTTATATCAGTAAAAAGGTATTTAGAACTTGCAAACCCGAGCCAAGAGACACCGTTAATAGTAAAGCCCTTGTTACTATTTCTTTCGCTAGATGGCGGTTGTTATTTATATTCATTAATACGTTCACCTTTTTAAACTTAAAATCGATGAAAAGCGAAATGCCGTCTTAGAAATAATAAGATTATGGTAGGTATGGTTTGTTTCTGTACTTGGAGGAACTCTGCGAAAATAATAATCAATATTTCACGATTTTTCTAACGTCAATATGAGGTTTAATTTTCATAAATCTGCAAATTTTATCTTGTATAAATATTTATGAAAAAAAACAAAACGGATCGGGTTCTGGGCCTCGCCTTCTTGTGAGCGTTTTATATTTGTTCAGATAACTTATACTGAGCAATCAAACAAATAATATACACAGATAAACAGCGGCTGATCAGAGTTTCACTGCAATGGGTACTTGTGATTAATCAAATTCAAGATCAATGTCGATACTCGTGTTGTGACCTCAAAGTTTAAAACGGACATTAGACAAGACTTTTATGTTTTATTAAAAATGGCCATCATAATGTGTAATATGTCTTACCAAATTTTGTTTGTTTTTGAATTTCGCGCAAACCTACTCGAAGGTTATCTTCGCTAGCCGTCCCTAATTTAGCAGTGTAAGACTAGAGGGAAGGCAGCTAGTCGTCACCACCCACCGCCAACTCTTGGGCTACTCTTTTACCAACAAATACTGGGATTGACCGTCACATTATAACGCCCCCACGGCTGAAAGGGCGAGCATCTTTGGTGTGACTGGGATTCGAACCCGCGACCCTCAGATTGCGAGTCGAGCGCCCTAACCACCTGGCCATGCCGGGCCTCAAATTTTGTGATATCTTTATACTTCAAAATCGGCTACGCCAGTTTGTTTTCCTTTTAAATATTTTTCCGTTCGGCAATAAATGTCGAAAATATCGTTATGTCCTGCGATATTATGGAAATTTACATTAAGAAGAAAGAAAAAAAAATTGTCACAGAGATGTGATAAACCAGCTATGTTTTACTTGAATGCTGTGTTTACTGTCGTCTCCTAAATTACTGTGGTTAGGATGCTCGACTCGCAATCTGCGGGTCGCGGGTTCGAATCTCCGTCCCTCCAAACATGCTCGCCCTTTCAGCCGTGGGAATGTTATAATGGGACGGTCAATCCCAGTATTCGTTGATAAAAGAGTAGCCCAAGAGTTGTCGGTGGGTGGTGACGACTAGCTGCCTTCCCTCTAGTCTTTCACTGCTAAATTAGGGACGTCTAGTGCAGATAGCCCTCCTGTAGCTTTTCGCGAAACTCAAAACAAACCAAAATTAGGTGTTTCAAGTACGATTTCTTTGAATTCGAGACAGATTTTTTATCACCTTTCTCCCATTAGAAGAAAAGTAAATAATGAAATTACCAGAGGTTCAGGCTCGTAGCTCAGAAATTCTATGGCACGTTTGTATTTTTTGTCTCACTTAATCTTTGTTAGCTTTTTATTTCAGATAATTTGAAGAAACAAATTCAACGTCCCGCGTAGTCTTACAGCTATTCAACGTGCCTCATAACGTATGAGTAAGTTACTAAACTTAACTCCATGCTCGGGGAGTTCTCACAACATGGAAACTTAGAGTAATCACCGTCCAACCCTTAAGACTTTCATCAGCTCGAACTGCAACACCTTCTGACGAAACAACCCTGTCGGAGAACATCTGAACTATTCCCACAGTTTGCATCTTCCGCTTTCCTGTTCGGTTAATCAGGCAATCCAACAGTGACCGTCTTTGTTGGGTAGGTTTTGTTTTTGTTTTCAATGAGGATTAATGCGATACATTCTGATATAATGCTTTTACTGTTACGCCATAAAATCACGAATAATTTAGTGTAGTTGATGACTTCTATTTTCAACTACTACTTCTTTATACACAGTTTAAATTTTAACTTAGTGAAAAAAAAAAAATCAATTTGGTAACAAAACTACCCTTAATCTTTGCAGTGGCTTAGCGGTAAGTCGGAGGGCCTGTAGTTGTAACGCTAAAATTCTTCGTTCGCTCCTTACAGTGGACATAGCACAGATAGCCCATTGTGAAGTTTTATGTTTAACAACAACAAAAAAAAAAAAGGCAAAGTTTACAACTCATCTAAGCAAATCTTGCAAAATAACATAAGCAACTGTTTCTATATCACTGTTAATATTACAGTTTTCAAGTATTCCAGTATTTTAGTTGGAAATGTAATCAAAAAAATTTGCCCATTTTCTTCTTCTGTTCTCACAAGGACATACAAACAAGTGTACAGAACCAAATACGTATATTTCTGTGATCACTGATTAGACGGCCATAAACGTACGTTTATTCAATTGTACAAAATGGCCATTTGTCGTGGTGATGTTGGTATTTAAATTTTGTTTAGTACTAACTAAGTTAAGGTAGTGGCGCCATTTCAGAAAACTCGTGAAGGTATGGGGGGGGAGCAAAGATGAACCCTAACTTCTACAAAATACACGAACTGTTGATGACGTAACACGTTTTGGAGTTGATACATCAGCTGTATACATAAGAGTCAAGGAGTTGTTAGGAACCACAAAAACAAAACTTGCAAACATCGAAAATGAATTAATAATAATAATAAGGCTTGGATGAGGCGGCTGCCCCCTCACCCACCTACCCCAATTGGTGTCACTGATTTAAAGTGAGACCGTATTATAAAAATAGTTGGTTTGACAAACTACCTCCAGAATGCTGGTTCTTCTTTTATTGTTTAAATAGTTGGTTTGACAAACTACCTCCAGAATGCTGGTTCTTCTTTTATTGTTTAAATAGTTGGTTTGACAAACTACCTCCAGAATGCTGGTTCTCCTCTTATTGTTTAAATAGTTGGTTTGACAAACTACCTCCAGAATGCTGGTTCTCCTCTTATTGTTTAAATAGTTGGTTTGACAAATTATCTCCAGAATGCTGGTTCTCCTCT